TAGCTGGCTGAGTGACCCGACGTAATCCCGTTGCAGGTGCCTAAGGACAGACAAGATCTGCAGGGTCATGTAGCGTCATCAGCAGGACCAGTGGTTGTAATGATGATCCCTCCAGGCGGGTCTTCGAGGTGGATTTCTTGGGCATAGCTCTCGGGGAAGTCGGAGACAACTGGCTTCAAAAATATCTTCTCGCACTTAAAGCACTTTCAAAATGCCAGTAGAACTTGGCAATTGCATTTTTCTCAGCAATCTCCTTATGTCACGTCATTTCTTTTCCTCTTTTCCATTACTTTCAATTCCTGCACATCATTAGACAAACACCTTCTCCATAAGGTAGCACTGATGACAAATTAAAATGCCACGGCAAACCGAATTCCACCACATGCAACTAAATGCTTCTAAATACATCTACATGGTCCTAAATAAGCTCTTAAACATTCAATAACTTAAGTGAAAAGGTCCCAAAATGTGACCTTTTACGGAGTTATCAGAAAGACATAAAGAAAATTTTATTATCCTATGGATTGTTGGATAATAATACGAGCAAGATTGAAACACGGAAAGAAATCATGGAGGTGTTACATAGAGCGTTTGTGGTAATGAAAGGTGAAAAGATAGCTGAAAACTTGTACATGCTGAAGGGAGAGACTTTGCTAGAAGCAGAAGCCTCTGTTGCCTCATGTAGTTCAGATTCTACAATGCTATGGTACCAAAAACTTGGACACATGTCAGAACAAGAAATGAAAGTCCTTGTGGAGCAAAAGCTACTTCCAGGCTTAACAAAGGTATCACTTACTTTGTGTGAGTATTGCATAACAAGTAAGCAGCACCGGTTGAAATTCAACTCGTCAAATTCTAGAGGCAAAATTGTTCTAGAATTGGTTTATTCTGACGTATGGCAAGCATCAGTTACATCCCTAGACGGAGTAAAATACTTTGTCTCATTTATTAATGATTACTCCAGGAGATGTTGGGTGTACCTTATTAAGAAGAAGTCAAATGTTTTCAACTTTCAAAAACTTCAAAGCGCTGGTGAAACTTGATTCTCGAAATAAGATCAAGTGTTTCAGAACAGATAATAGAGGAGAATACACAAGTGAAGAATTTGATGACGTTTGCAGGAAAGAAGGCATCAAAAAATAGTTCATAGTGGCGAACACTCCTCAACAAAATGGAGTAGCAGAGCGGATGAACAGAACCTTGTTAGAAAGAACAAGAGCAATGTTGAGAGTTGCAGGCCTAGCAAAATCATTTTGGGCAGAAGCAGTGAATACCACATGTTATTTGGTGAATCGAGCTCCATCAACTGTAATAGAGCTGAAGACACCAATGGAGATGTGGACTGGTAAACCAGCAGATTATTCAAACCTTCATGTATTTGGAAGTATTGTTTACGTTATGTACAACTCCCAAGAAATTTCAAAGTTGGATCCAAAATCCAGGAAATTTAAATTCTTGGGGTATGCTGATGGAGTAAAGGGGTATCGCTTGTGGGATCCCACTCCCCGCAAAGTGATCATCAGTAGGGATGTTATCATTGTAGAAGATAAACTACAAAGAAAAGAAGATGACAATAGCGCTGAAAAGTCAGAGACTACACAGATACATGTGGAAAAGGAGTTTGAACAAGGAGATTCTTCTAAAGTAGAACCAACACATGATGAACAAGAACCAGAAAGTTCTGAAGCTCCAACAACTCGTCAATCAGATCTTGTGAGAAGACGTCCCAATTGGTACTCAGATTATGTTATAGAATGAAATATTGCATATTGACTTTTAACAGAAGACGGTGAGCCATCAACATTCCAGGAGGCAATAAACATCTTAGATGCTTCACTTTGGATGATGATGATGCAAGAAGAAATCGAAGCCCTTAAAAAAATAATACATGGGATCTTGTGTCACTACCACAAGGAAGGAAGCCAATTGGTAACAAATGGGTCTTCAAAATCAAGCGAAATGGTGACAATCAAGTTGAGAGGTATCGTGCAAGACTGGTGGTCAAAAGATATGCTAAAAAAGAATGTATTGATTTCAATGAAATCTTTTCTCCTGTGGTTAGACTAACAACAGTTCGAGTAGTCTTGGCAATGTGTGCTACATTGAATTTACATCTAAAGCAACTAGATGTTAAAACAACTTTTCTTCATAGAAATCTTGAAGAAGATATCTACATGTTTAAGCCTGAAGGTTTTGAAGAAAAAGAAAAGAATAACTTGGTTTGCAGGTTGAATAAATCTATGTACGGTCTAAAGCAGGTGCCGAGGTGTTGGTATAAGAGATTTGATTCCTTCATTATGTGCTTTGGATACAACAGACTTAACGCAGACCCTTGTGCTTATTTCAAGAGGTTTGATGATAACTATTTTGTTATATTGATGTTGTATGTGGATGACATATTGGTTATAGGACCAACAAAGATCATATTAAAGAATTGAATGTACAACTGGCTAGAGAATTTGAAATAAAGGACTTGGGATCAGTAAACAAGAATCTAGGGATGCAAATTCATAGAGACAGAAGTAATAGGAAAATTTGGCTTTCACAAAAGAATTACTTGAAGAAGATCTTGTCACGATTCAACATGCAAGATTGTAAGCCAATTTCTACCCCTCTTCCTATTAACTTCAAATTATCCTCCACTATGAGTCCTAGCAGTGAAGAAGAGAGAATGGAGATGTCTCGAGTGTCGTATGCATCGGCAATGAGAAGTTTAATGTTCGCTATGATATGCACAAGACCAGACATTGCACAAGCAGTGAGAGTGGTTAGTCTATACATGGCGAATCCAGACAAAGAACATTGGAATACAGTAAAGAGGATCATGAGATACATCAAAGGGACCTCAAATGTTGCATTATATTACGGAGGATCAAACTTACTTATCAATGTGTATGTCGATTCTGACTATGCAGTGGATTTGGATAAAAACAAATCTACAACAGGATATGTGCTCAAAGTTGCTGGTGGAGCTGTAAGCTGGGTTTTAAAATTGCAGTCAGTTGTGGCTACATTCACAACAGAAGCAGAATATGTAGCAGCTACACAAGCCAGTAAAGAAACAATTTGGTTGAAGATGCTATTAGAGGAGCTTGGGCATAATCAAGAGTATGTCTTTCTGTTTTGTGACAGTTAAAGCGCCTTGCATCTAGCAAAGAATCCAACATTTCATTCAAAAACAAAACACATACGAGTTCAGTACCACTTCATTCGTGAAAAGGTAGAAGAAAGGACGGTAGATATGTAGAAGATCCATACCAAAGACAACATAGCAGATTTCATGACTAAGGCGATCAATGCTGATAAATTTACTTGGTGCCGATCCTCTTGTGGCCTGACAGAAACATAAGCAACATGAAGATACAAGGTAGAAAGAATTGTGTAAAGATATGATTGTTCTAATCAAATCTTCAAGTGAGATATTGTTGAAAAGTAAACATCAAGTGGCCAAATTGATGGCTAAACTTTCGGTGGAAAGTTGAAAAAATAATTAAATTTGTCAATAATTGGGGGCACCGAAAATTGGCTTGATTTTGTTGAAAATATGGTAACGGGAAAATTACTCATTTAGTCCCTGGGCTTTAGGTATTTACAAGACTAGTTCTTAAGCTTCAACTATAAATATCCTATCCCATTTAACTTCAAATTCATCCCAAATCATTCTAGCTTTCTCCCAATTTTAGAGAATTTAGAGAGTTTTCTTGAGAGTTGTTTTCTCCTTTTTATCAAGAGAGAATTGTCATTATTTTCTCCTTGTTAGATCGAGAGAAGTTGTAATTCCTATTTTCTCATAGTGAAATTCTTTTACCGTTGCCCGTGGTTTTTACCATATATTATTTAGGGGTTTTCCACGTAAAATTTATCTTTTTTATCTTCATTTTTATTTTCTCAAATTATCAGTTGCGTTTTATTCTCTATCCGATAGTCTTATGCCGCAACAAGATTCAGGTGTTACGATTTGAATTTAAATTTGATATGAAATATCGGATTAAAATACTTGGATGTTAAACCAAAATACGAATGGAAAAAAAATTTGACCGTCTCAATCTGATCCTTTGTCATCCTGTTACCAGCATGACAACATATCATGCCTAATGGATGATAGAATTCCACTTTCCTAACGTTGGGTTTAGGCACTTATCCATTTTGGTAGTGTTGGATTTGGGGAGGTAAGTTGGGTTTTAGTCGACTTATTTAATTTACGCTGTAAAATAATAAAAATAAACACCGTTTTTTTGGGCGTTTTCTCATATATATGTTTTCTCATTATTCATGTCCTATCAAGTCAAAACTCTAGTTGAAAATGACCCAAAAACAATTGAAGTTATAATATTAAAAATATAAATATAAAAAATATTTTAAGCACAATTATAATACAAAAACGATACCAAAAGTTAGGAGTTTGAAGTTAAGATTTCAAAATAAAAAGAAATATGGAAGACAAAGATGCATTATCTCATAAAAAATTTGGTAGGAAAAAAACTTAACTTGTAAGGTCTGAATTTATTAATTCAAGGGTCCGGTGACATTTAGTTTGAGTAGGATCTTAAATAATTTTTTTAATAAAATTTAGTTTGGTTCAATTTTAAGTAATATTCATTAATTAATAATTATTTTATTTATGTCGAATCAAACTTGGATAAAAAAATAAATTTTCCGATTAAATCTATAATTATTTATGTTCTATGATCATTAAAATTATATTTTTATGTTAGTATGTCACGTCATCAATCGATCATTCTAGTAGAAAGTGAATATAAGGAGTAGCCATTAATTTATATCATTTTATAATTAAAATATCAAACTAATAATGAAGTGGTAATCGCATTGTTTCATTGTCAACAATAATATACTACATCGACTCTTTATCCGTGCTTGGAATCTCCTATATAAATTTGATGATCCATCAAGCCATTCTTCATCACGAACAAAAAGATTCGATTTCCCTCATCTCTAAAATTCTCTCATTTTCTCTCCAACCAATCAAACAAAAGCAATAAAGAAAAGAAAGAACGAAAGAAAATGCCGAAGAGCGTTGATATAGAGAACAGCGATGAATCTAAGGGCAAAGCACCATTGATCGCCGATGGAAAAGAGAAAAAGAGCGGATTGAAGAAAGTCATGGGCATTTTCGACTTCATTCTGAGACTCGCCGCCATAATTGCAGCTCTCGTCGCTGCTGCCACCATGGGAACCAGTGACGAAACCGTCCCGTTCTTCACTCAGTTCTTCCAGGTCCAAGCTAGCTACGATGATCTTCCCACATTCAGGTTAGTCACTATAACACACATATATATTCTACCTAGATCATATGATTAAATAAGTCGTTATCTTGCCATTTTGATCCTTTCAGTCACCGTTGATATTCACCGGTTGATCGTCGCAGGTTCTTCGTCATTGCAATGGCAGTATTAGCAGGCTACCTCGTCCTTTCCCTTCCGTTCTCCGTAGTCACCATGGTCCGCCCTAATATAGTTGTTTTGAGAATTCTCTTATTCATTTTGGATATAGTAAGCATCCCAACACTCGATTCAACTACTTTCGCTAAGTAAAATTAACTAAAACATGATACAGGAAATACCGCATAAACACGATACAAATATATGAATATTAAATAAATGTCCAAACTAATGTCACTAAAATTTCATTTTCGTCGCCACTAATAAAGTAAAGACGGTTTAATATTATAACCATCATCGTATTAGCACTGTTGTTAAGGTCAAAGGTGACGGTAAATCTTTATTCGTGTCGCTATAAATATAACTGATTTTTTTTTTCGTGATGGTAGGTTGTATTGTCTCTGGGCACGGCATCCGCTGCGGCCGCGGCGGCCGTAGTTTACTTGGCTCACAGCGGCAACCCTAATACAAATTGGCAAGCCATTTGCCAACGCTTTGGAGATTTTTGCCAGAAAGTGAGCGGAGCTGTGGTGTCATCTTTCGTCGCTGTTGTGTTCCTCATGCTGATGGTTTTGCTGTCTGGTTTTATTTTCTTAAAGAACGCTAGAAAATAGAAAGAAATATATTACTGTGAAATATAGACATTATTTATTATGTCTTACCTATTTTTCATATATTCCTGTCTTAATTTTTAGTGTAAGAGATTTTCGGATGTTCGATAATCATATAATCATTTTCGGTTATTTCAAAAGTTAGATCGAATTAGTCTCCTAAACAAGAGTAAAATGATCTTTTTCATAGTAATTGTTATTATCATTGACATTGTAATTTTGTTATATTCGAGTAATTTACAATTAATGGAAATTATTATTTTATTTTTCATCAGTCATAGTAAATTTTTATTTTAATCAGAGATTTAAGTGAATGTCTTCTTAATCATCTCAACCTCAATAAAAGAAATTTAGTCGCATAAATCTAACAGTCGTATAAATGATTTTTGTTTGTATGAAATTGAACTCAAGATAATGTTATCTTTTAAACAATAAATATTAAATAAATCTATATAAAAAATTGGTTTTATATGTTTTTTCTTACTAGTAGAGAGGTTGAAATGATCTGTAGATGGACTAATTTGAATTGATGACTATAATAGAGGACTTAACATGTACTTTCACCTGTAATAAAAATTTAAAAAAATAATTTTTCGTAATATGTGAATACCATCTATTTATTTAAGTCTAAAATCCAGAAAGATATTTTGGTCATTTGATAAATCAGTGAACTGCTACCTTCCGAAAATTTAGAGAAAAATTGATCGGATCGTAATCTTAATTCCCTCAAAACAAAAAGTGAAATTTCCGGGGAAGGATTTAGGGTTTAGAGATTCAAATTACTGAATCGGGAAATGTCTCAGACTGGAAAGTTGATGCCGAATCTCGATCAACAGAGCACGAAGATGCTCAATCTCACTGTTCTCCAAAGAATAGATGCTTTCATAGAAGAGATATTGATCACAGCTGCTCACGTCACTTTCTACGAATTCGACATCGATAGTAGTCAATGGGTTCGCTTTCTCACAAATCTGTTCTTAAGTTCTTTTATTCTTAATTATTTGCTCTTTATTTCGTTTAATGTCTGGATCGTTATTTAATCTATTTTTATTTAGAGCCGAAAAGATGTTGAAGGATCTCTCTTTGTTGTTAAGAGGTAAAACAAGTTGATACTTTTATCTAGCATTAACGTTTTTAGAACTTAGAAGTAACTAAAACTTGGGAAATTGATTTAGCTCATTGAATTGATTGATGATTTTCCTTGGTTTTTAAGGAGTACTCAACCTCGGTTCCAGTTCATTGTAATGAATCGGCTTAACACAGGTAGAAATTCTTAATTTTAATGAAAGAGCACACACTTTTTTTCTCTCCCCTTTTACCTGATTTGGTACAAAAGTTGTTTGTTAAAAACAGATAATTTAGTGGAGAATCTATTGGGAGATTTTGAGTACGAGGTTCAAGGTCCGTACTTGTTGTATCGAAATGCAGCACAAGAAGTTAATGGCATTTGGTTCTATAATCCACGTGAATGTGAGGAAGTTGCAAACCTCTTTAGTAGGTATAACATCTTGTTTTAGTCCATTTATCTAACTTCCAATAATCGGATTTGAACATGGACATGGTCATCCCAACTGAATTCAAACACAGAGGTTTAGATCTTTTACGTATCTTATATATATTGTACCTTGTTTCTTACAATTATTTTTCCCGATAGGAAGGGTTCAGTAGTTGAAGACCCTTCCTTTGGGATGTAGTTTTGTTTTGACAATAATCTTATGGTTATTGAAGTTCTAAGCATTCATATAAGATTCTAGATAAGTGGGGTCAATGCACTTTAATCTGTTAAACAGAGAATGCATGTGTTTTTAGCTCAACAACTACCAAGTCGTAAATATGTGAATGATACACAATATGGTATACTGCATGTAACTTGATAGTTAATCACAACATATAAAACAAAATTTTCCTTGCATTACGGCTACCCTTAAACTTTTGTTGTTTAAGCACACCATGAAAGCACTCAAATAAGATTATGTCAGTGTGTATTTTGAGATATTGTTTCGATAAGAGAAGTTATTGGTCTGTTTCTTTTGGTGGTCCCTAACACTGTATTTGTTGACTTCTTCACAGAATACTAAATGCATATTCAAAAGTTCCTACAAAGCCAAATGCATCTTCAAGTGCAAGGTAATTGCTTTGATGAAGCATCTATAAGGCAGTTAGTGATTTTGTGAAGCATTAGGACATATCTTGCGGGATGTTAAATTTTCCCATGTGTCCTGCAGGATGTTTCTATGAGACAAAGGTGGTTGAGAGTTGGACTAGAGTGGATTGTGGGCTGACATATCTTTTGACAGTAAAAAAGTTAGGTGAGAGTGAAGGGAAAACGAAGTAGGAACTGTAGAATTTGAATTGGTAGTATATGCTGGGAGTAGGTGAGTGAGGCAGGAGCTTTATATGCAAATTTTTTTTCTTTTAACACCAAACTCCCATATCTATATGTTATAAGGTTTATCTAATTCAATAGATAATCCTTTCTAGACCAATTATGAGTCATATTGATAAACTTGTAATAATGATTACACAAAAAACGAAAAGCATCTGTGTGGTGTTTAAAAATGATTATAATGGAATTTGATGATTTTGATGTTGATCCTTGGAAGTCCATCATCCTTGTACTACACTATCTTGCTCCTCCTGGTAGTATCTGCTACCTTAATTTCATTGTCTTCCTATTGTGTCCAAGTGGCCTAAGCTTTTCTGTTATTATTGTGTAGTGAATTTGAGGAACTAGAAGCAGTTCCTAGCATGTCCGTAATTGAAGGCCCCTTGGAGCCACCAGCAACTGCTTCTCCTACTGATGCTCCTCAAGATTTGTCATTTGTTAACTTCTTTAGTGTATGTTGATTGCTGACACTTACATTTTCGATTTTCAAGACCCAGTATTTTATCTGATGTCTCTGATCTCAAGGTTATTTGGCTTTACTAATTTCAGGCTGCTATGAATATCGGAAGTAATGCTCCAAAAAGTACAAAACCAGCACAGCCTTACCGTTCTATCTCGACTACCCCTCTTTCTTATCATGCACCATCTGCCATATCCACTCCTCTACTTGCTCCATCAGTGTCATCCCTTCCTCTTTCTGCTCAACCATCGCTTGATTCAGTAAGTAACAGCAACCGAGTGACTAATCTTGTAAAGCCTTCTTCATTTTTTGTACCCACTTCCTCATCCTCGTTGATGATGCCACCTCCCTCTTCATCAAATCCAACCGTCTCTGCTCTTCATCCACCCGTAAATTCTCAACGTCCTTATGGCACTCCAATGCTTCAACCCTTTCCACCACCTACTCCACCTGCATCTCTCACTCCTGGTGCGCCACCTACTTTGCACAATGGATCTCTGATTAGCAGGGATAAAGTCCGTGATGCACTGCTAATGCTTGTCCAGGTATTTATATAAATTTTCTACTATTTTTCACTTGGAATGTTAATATTGATATCAGCATATACGGGCTCGAGTATAATGGCTAATTATCATCTGGCCAAAAGATAAATATAGTGGATCAATCAGTGATGCACATTTTCCAGTTCCTACTCTTGGTAAAAGCTTCTAATTATTGATTCTTTGTTTTATTCTTATGCTAGGACGATCAATTCATTGACATGTTTTGTCAGGCCTTGCAGAAGGTGCATCACACCTGAGCACCCTAGAGTCGATCCTCAATAACTTAAGTTTTATGTTCAATGTGCACCTCATGGTTTTTTTTTTCTTCGCTTTTCTATCTAAACTTTGACTCTTGATTTGATATACACACCAATTGTTTACCGAGGACAAAGTGTTAAAACATACTCTGTTGGCATTCGAGCTTTTATAGCAGGCGGCGATGCATAAAAAAAGAAGGCATTTGAGCTTGTATAGCAGGTGTTGATGCATAAAAAGAGAGCATGAATCAAGTTTTGCCAACATGGCAAAAAAGGGCGCACACGTGCATCAACAGAACATAATTTATAGGGTTTAGAGAAGAATGAAAATAAGAATCAAAGTCATCTCCTAAACCTGAGCTTTCTCCTCCTATCACCATTCTCTCTGCACCTTCAAGTCTCCCCTTCATGAGGAAGAGATCCGTCGTCGTTGGTATTTGAAGTGTGTGTTTGTCCTCCACTTTCTGAGACGAGCATTATATTAGGGTGGCAGACTGCGGCAGCTGCAGGAGTGGGTGCAAAGGGTCATAATTACTGCAGTGGTTTCAGTCGGCAAGTCTATGACACATTTTGTTAACTCTAATCCGCTATGGTTTTTCGTTGATTGAGTCGGTTTTAAAGGACCTGATTCCTAATTCAACACAGTACAAGTTGGAGGTGTGCAATGGACATTAAAGCAGAGTCTGAGGGCCGTTTTGGTGTCTAGTATTGTCAATGTAAAGTTGCTGCTGTTAGCTGTTTCCATCTCGCAGAAGCTTAAAGGTTGGTTTAAACATCTTTATAACTTTAAATGCTAAATATGTATGATGTATGCTCCTTAGATGTGTAGGATTATGCTATACCATTTGTTGACTCTGCTAATGTGACTTTGCTGCAATAACTTTGTCAATCAGGCACTTGAGGAATGTAGGATTTGTTGTTAAATTACTCGTGTTTGATATCTGCATGTGACATATTCGGATTAGGGTACGAGAATATGATTGTTAAAACTCGAACACCTCTCTCATTTACACACATTTTTGCCCGATTTATATTCAACTTGGTTCCTTAGTTCATTTACCTAATGATGAATCTTATATGCTTGATTTGAGTACAAATTAAGATGTTTTTAGTTGAGTATTTTTATAGTTAAATTCAACTTTCTTGAATCAACGTCCAGTTTGTTTAGTAGGATGAGACATTGAATTCCTTAAGAAATGTCAGGGTTTGAACACTGGCGTTTGCAAATAGAGCAAACTGGATTGGAAGAGTCGTTCTCGTCTTTGCAGTACCGGATCTGGATTAGTCGGTTAAACCAGTGATTAATTAAAAAAAATCAACTTTCTTGAAAATTTTTTATAAGAAAGCTCGATTAGATTTGTGAACTAGCC